CTGTATATCATCTCAAATATCACAAAATGAAAAGAAAATTCCACGAAAGCTACTGAATAACATTTAGCGGTTCATCTTTAACAAGTGAAACAGCGGCTATGACACAATAACTACCTCTTCTCGGCGAAAATGGGAAATGAAATTACAGTCAAACCTATATTAAGCGGTCAGTTGTCAAAGTCCCGAGTTTTTTCCCATTAACACTGTAATTTCACCTCTATTTAGCGGTCGCGGTCACCCTTTACTAAGTCCCAAAGGCCTCTTTGTATTGTCCTCCACCTGTATTGAACGATCACTGAATACTGAACCACTCATATAAAACTAAGAAGAGTCTCTCAAGTAATTTTTAAGCCATGTTTCTCTCCAAAAATAAAATTAAGTAGTATTTTCCAGGGAAATTCTATGCAATGAATAGTCAATTATGGCATAAAATGGCGTTGTTCATCATTTTTTATGATACCCCTGAACTGTGGAACCTGTATTAAACAGCCTCAAAGGTTGGACTGTAAAACTTTTCATCAAAAAAAGCCAGCTCGAAGACTGAAATAAGACATACATTCCAAAGAGCTCGCAGTAAGAACTCCAAGCCAATATAATCCATGCATTCTATTCACACTAAAAACGTTTGTATGTTAATTACACCCAACATAACAAACGTCTGCATTTTTATCAAATTCAAGACGAAATTTTTCCGGTTGAAATGATAGCTGCCTGATAAAAATTCAAAGAACATTAGGTCAAGGACGCACATCTCGTTGGGAGTTCGAAGTTTCGTGTAGATGAATATTTAAATGTAATGGTTTTATCTCAGCTAACTGGCCTCCCCTGAGTTGACCCAGTCAACAATGCTGGAGCCCAGCAAGCCTCGTTGCCTAAGAAAGTAGACACGGCCTCAGAAAACAAGAGAATTATCAACTAGATTATCTCTGTCAAGATATGAAAACTTTATTTTCCCAAAAATAATCGTGTTGCCTGAAACAATGAGTAATGAACAGGATGCTTTTGCAGATCGTAAAAGCTACGAAAGCTACGATAAGCCCCTTTTGCAAATCATCTCTCATGCATACCTACGACTTGTTTTTCTTTTCTGTTATTTAAGATAACTTCTGTTTCTTATCAGCAGCCCTCCGAAAACGAATCTACGGGAGGAGAAGATGCGTAAACGACAACCTTATCTTTCCCCTCCCCCCTCAATCTCCAGTATCAGTGCCCCTTTTACACCTCTTTGAGAAAAAAAAACTGTAGCTTAAACGCCTTAAGATGATAGTCCTTTAAGGTTGCTAGTACGTAAATGGTTACAAAATTATGCTTGACTTTAAAAACTCCCGTTAGCCCCCTTCAGTTTGCGTTGGTTTTTCAATCAATCAAATGCGTACCGTGTACTGTATTCATTGCAGCTAAGCGATAAAACAACTTCCCACCATGTGATTATGCTCTGGTCTACAAGCCCAGCGGGAAGGTTTTCAGAGCGTTTTAATCCTTTTACTCTGAATATCTCACCAGTAATTCTCCTAAGTGTCTGCCATACAATTTTTATGATATCAGTGTTGAGAATTTGGTATTGAATCAACTAATAAGAGCCTTACTGATATTTTTCTTTATTCTCATCACTTGTCTGCTTGATATTATATTGTAAATCGTAAGGAGAAATTCTGTCCTGATCACTCATGGGAGTCAAAGGTTAAGGAAGTTATAGTTAAGAATAAAAGTCACGATTCTATTAATATTTAACAAAGTTGACAGACACAGAGGTCAAACATCTGCGCATTGTGAACGCAGTATTCAAAGGGTCCCCTAAACCCTTTGTAAAACTCAGCATGACGTAAAGATATTTTGTCATTTCACACTTCACGAATAATATTCAGATTTCGTTGACGTTCACGCGAAATTTGAGACGATCACATTACACAAAAATAAAGTCACAATCACGAATTTATATCTTTACTTTTTTCTAGTCTTATATTATCTTGTGTCGATTCATATGAAGTCCGTTCGAGAATAATACGTATATTTTCAAAACAATTAAATAAAGTACCCGGGACTTATCACGCAAACCAAAATGGTTCTCGAATCACGTTTAATTAAGCTCTTCATTCACGAGTCACGTTTCAGTAAAAAAAAAAAGTAGTTTACGTGGACATGAAAAGATCCTATCACTTTTAATCACGATTCNTTGTATGTATGTATGTATGTATGTATGTATGTACGTAAAAGTAAAGGGGACCCTCTATTCAGGCCGTCATAGCCAAGTTGTCTCACACACGGGCGGGTAAGACTCAGAGTCTTCTAAAAGCGCATAACTTCTTTGGTAAAGCTCAAAAAAAAAAATGGTAAATCGAAAGAGTATCAATAATTTTTGTGTTCGGAAACGCACCAATTTTCCTCAGTATTCTTTCGCACATTTCTTCTTTAACCCTTTAATTTTTTTTTTTTTTGGTCGTAAATTTTGCGTAAGATAGGCTGTTCTGAACGGGAACTGTGATTCTGACTATGAATTCTCCTGTGTAAGACAGAATGAGCATTCTTCATAAAAATCTGTAAACCTTTAATTTCTCGTATCTAAAAATCACCTGTTTAAACCCCGACTTTTAGCTGCAATGTTTGAAATTTCATCATCACCTCGGATCTATTAAACAAAGGTTATCAACGAAGGGCTAACGCTCGAAACGTCAGCTTTTTAACTCTTTACGGTGGCCAACTTACAATTTCAACTTAGTTGATTTTACCAATTTGCCTTGTTACCCCCACCGACGCAGCACCACAGTTTCTCTAGAAACTAAACGCCTTTATTCAAAGTCGAATTACCCCATTCGAATTACCCTATAATTCGTTTCCTTGTGGGACCAAAACTGAATTTCTCTGAACAGGTGACTGACAAGAAGAAAGAATTTTATCAAATAAGGGATCATTGTTTGATTCAAACCCAGATTCTTTGAAATAAACTGAAGAGAAACGTATCGCAAGCGGTAAGAAGAAGTTGTATTTTGATCTTAAGACTTAAAAGGTTAAACGTGAACAACGCATGCGCCATGTCGAACTCTGGCTTGTCAAAGAATGGCTGATATTAAAAGTATTTATTTACAAAACTAACTGCGCTATAAAAGAAATCACTTAAGAAAGTTTTAACCCTGACCTATTGTTAAGAACAGATGTTCTTACGCCAATTTTGGGAATTGTCCAGCAAAATCCGTGTTAAACATATTGGCTAAAGTCCATTAACAATAGATTTAGTTGTAAAAACTCTTTTGAAAAATATTTGAATAGCCCAACACCTTTAAATGAACAGGACTCTTATAGTAGAAGTTTAAGTTGTTTGCATATCTACATCAGGCAAAGCCAGTTGTTTAAAATTTAAATGAAAGGAAAACTTCATTGTTAAGTTCCGCCACCTTTTATAGCCGTCGTAAAAGATGGTGGAGTGTTGCAATGCAGTTTTCATTGTAAGTGAAGATGCGAAATGATAATGAAGTAACCTTTGAAAATTGTCCACAGTATGTGAATCTGAAACAAAATTCTTTAATTTAATGATATCACGTCTCTTCAGGCAGTAAGAAAGGTATATAAATTTGCTAACTTCTTTGTTTCATTAATCACGAGAAACAATATTACTCACCGCATTAATGATATGTCGCTTTGCCTTAAGGGTATTTTCACTTGAAAACTGACATACAAGAAGATTCTGTTAAATGTATACAGGCAATCAATAATACTGGCCGTAATCAACCAGCTGTGTAAATAATACATTAGGGTTGTACGTGACTCAAATATGAATTGTCATCTGCAACGCTGTTTAAGTGTTGACTTCCGCAGAACTGCCTCCTCATAGAAACGCTAAACTATAGCTTATCTGTGTGCGTGGGCAAGTGAGTCTGTTATTTCGCAATCAAGACTCAACTGAATGTACTTTCGTGGAGTTTCAAATAGTTCACTTAAGTTCCACTTGATCAAAACTATCAGAGCTTTCTAGAATGTGGCTGAATATCAGCCCCTCGATTTGAGAACTAATTGGACAATTTGAGCGTCATTCCAGTTTAATTGGACGATACGCTTCATTTGCGAGGCTGTTATTCAGAGGCTTAGAAGTAGAGAAATGACCTTTGCAGGTTAGCTCCAACTGAAGGAAAATTTTTGCGGACAAAAAAGCCTGAAAAGGAATCCATGCTTATTGCAAGACTCTAACTCATGCCTCCTGGAAACCAATTGTGCTCGCTTACCGTCGAGGTCTGATTTTTAATTTTTCCAGGCCTCTTTTCTAATTTCTGCAGATGCTAATTGCTTCGAAGATCGTTCCTTATTTTTGTATCTGCGTAAAATATTATTTATTTCATTTAACTAAGAGTCTTAGGTTTATTATCTCTTGGGTAAAAAGGCAAAGGTTTTTTTTCTTAAGAAGACGTTTAACGGATGGGTATTTTGTTTCCAATTCTTTCGGTAATAACATTAGTGAATGACACCACAAATTAGACTCCCGCTAAGAGGTCGTTCAATTTGGCTCATCGTTCGTATCATCGCACGGCAACATAACAGCCACTTTGGAACACGCTTTCCTTCTTTAGATTTTGTATATCTCAAAAAATGGAACGAAAAAATTAATTGACCTCTTTAATCACGATAGAATTTCAATCGGCATATCAAAACTTATCTTTGAGAGAGCGCTTTTCGATTGATGTGTTGTAAACCCGAAATCAGAGTTGTTACTGCGGCCAATTAGGAGAAATAAAATTATATTCAAGCGCCAATGAGAGCACACCAAAGCGCTTAAAGCGCGGGAAAACGCTGGCGACCGAGTCGTGATTGGTTGCCGTGTTGCACCTGATTGGTTGAGAAGAGGCACGATTTTCTACACCAATCGCAGAGCGAAGTAAAGCAAAACCAATCCAATCTCGGATCAATTTCGACAGTCAATTGAAAATTGCTGATTGACGAGTTTTCCATGGAAACAATTTGTTAAAGAAAAAACTTACCCTCAAGTCGTTGTATCTTAACAAAGGTTATATGTCAATAGCACTCATTAAGTAAATTTTCTGAGTTAAATTTTCATTTCCGTTTTATTCAACCCTCTTGATGACTGCTCGTGTCAAGGCCATTCCACTTGAAGAACTGTCTAGTCGGTTTTGTAAAAGTAGAACTCACGTAAAGGAAACTTTTGTCATGGAAATTAGATCCGGTAATGCGGTTAGTTTAGTATTTCGCAAAGGATAAACTGTTTCGAAGTTGCCGCCGCTAATTTTGCGATTCTGTAGTCTACAACCTTTGGCCAACACGTATTCGTGGCGTGAAAACAGAAATACACTGTGTAACTCTTTCCATTCTAACTTTAGTGTGTATATTCTCCATACTGTTCTCTATACATTTCCCAAGGTGCTGGCAAGGAGAATTTGTTTAACAATTAAACGCTTCTTTAGTTAGTGACCATTTCCCTTACTCTCATGACCTTACCGTTTGATTCAGGGGAATCGTGTGAGGAGAAATTAGGTAATTTTGTTTTATCAACCAAGTTGATGATGTAATTGGCCACTGTAAAGGTTTAAAAGCTGATGTTTCGAGCGTTAGCCCTTCGTCGAGCGAAATTAGTTGGAGAAGTAAGGAGAAATCATAATGCTTGCCTCTCGCAGGAGCCAAAGGGTTAAAGAAAGCAAGAGAACACTCGAAATTTCTGGGCGGACATATTCAATACTGGATCACTGTAACCTTAGACCCTTTCATTTACCAATGTCAACAAACCTATGCGAAAAGAGACTTGAATAGGACAATCTAGACTATACAAATGGAGTAAAAAAAAAAAAAAAGAAAACTAAAGCCAAACATTTTGTTTTCCTCGAACCTTCCACGTTTTTAAAACCAGCCTGGTCAACTTGAGAAAGTAAAGCATTCTGAAAGCCTCATGGCAATACTTCTCAAATTATTCGAGAAATAAGCGGTTTGGGCAGAAACGAACGTTACAGGTGGTTGCGGTGATCAATTGAAACGAGACCTATTAAAATTCCTGCGCTCCATGAATTGCCAAGTAATTTTTTTTCGAGTGGTCTGGTCAAACATCAAACGTATTTTTGATCAAACCGACTAGATGTATGGCCTTAATCTGTTTGTTCTTTATCCCTTTCACTTCCAGGAACGTCCAAAAATACATATTTCTTCCCCCAGCATCGATATATTTTCAAGCAGAAAGGAGAAAGACAGCTATCATAAAGCAAATAATGTTGATTTAACACAAAACTCCTTGAGCTTAAATTATAAGAAATGTGTCACAAGCAAAGCAGAGAAGCGATATTTATATCTTTGATGTGAAAGAAGCAATGTTTCGTAGTGCAAAGTCCACAAAGTTCATCTGGAACAAAAAAGAGTAGTTGTAGTTAATGCAGACACGTACGCCTCGTGGCAATGGTATGGAACTAACCCGCAATTTTAACCTTTTGTTTCCCGGTCAGACAATGAATTGTCGAAGTAATGCAAGAAGTTTGTCTCAAACCTGGAACCGATTTGCTTCAAAGCTAAAGATTCACTCAATGACAAAAATTACCATGGTAACGGAAAAACCTTTCTTTAAACGCCTTAAAACCTGCGGGTTCTGTTACGTTGCCATTTGTCTCTTGTCACGTTCTGAGTGTGGAGTGAGGAAATAATTTAGAAACATGCAGCACGCGTATGAATGCAGGCGACACGTACATTGTCAAAGTGGTTTTAGCCGGTTACTCGGTTCCTCTGAGTAAAGTAATATTCAATAAGATAAGCCAGAAAGCGGTCTTGGATAGCTTGTTTTAAAAAATAAAATCGTATTACTTTATCGTCTTTCCACTTATTCGCAATGAAATCAAGGCGGCTTTCTAGACTTAACTTTTGACACGGTTCTTGCACAGTGCATGAGTGAACGCACGATTCCGCTCAACCGCTGCATCAGAAAACTTTCTCCTGAATGACATTTCGGACCAATTATCTATGACAAGAACATTTCACCTTCACTAAAACACTGGATATGATTACCATCAAAGAGAGAAAGGTAAAAGGCGTCATTGCAAATTGTGAAGGTTAGATACAGATATTAAATGTCATGCTTTGGAGACACAAGCCCTCCGGCACCGGCATGAACCATTCTTATTATTAATATCACCATCATGTTTTTCATCGGTGCAGTTAAGTACTCACGTATTCACATACGCCTAAAGAGCTGCACTTTTTTACCAAACACAAATGAAAGAATTAACTCTTAATTATCTCCGTCTCAGCCTTGATAAATGGCAGAAAATAATATGTAATGATGATAATAAAAGCGCGTTCTGTTCACGACAACTTAACGTCAAATGCCGCGTTGTAAAAGCGAGACAGCGTGCTTCAAGTCGGAGTCAATTGTTCCCGTATGTGAAATCTATTTTATTCTATTTTATGTATAAGGCATTCCCGAACACCTGCCATGATAATTTGTATACTTCAACGCACAAGAGTATTAAGTGACTTAGGAACTAAAATGTTAAGAGGTAATCCTTCTTGTGGTCTATCTGTCTACATTGCAAAAGACTCATTTACGCGTAATCACCTGTGCTCGGAGTACCTTCAGTGACGATGCATTTTCACGGTAGAACTAACTCGCGCATTTTATAAAACATAAGCCAGGTTATAGCTGGATTTTTTGGTTAATGATCTTGCATTATTTGCCGGCTGAAAAAAACATGAGGAAATGGGTAGTCCAACGTTTGCCCACACATGAGTTCTCAAGTAATCGTGAAAAAATTCAAACCGTTCAGATCAGGTATCTTTTAGTCCGGATACTGATAATAAGGTAAAGAGTTTTTCATCGGAAATGACTTAACATCAAAGCACCAACCGGACGTAGTAATAATGTAATAATCCTTGATAAATTGGGTGACGCAATTCTCAAATACATCTCTTTGGAGATTTTGTGTTCACTGAATTATATTTCAGACAAGTTGGCATCGATAGAATAGCACGCTCCAGAACAGCAATGAAACTTTCAACACTGGTCAGAGCTTTCATCACTAATTTTGTCGAATAAAATATACCGATACACCACATGTTCAGATAAAACAATCTTTTCGGTCTTTGTTGTGTGAAAAGAAACTTCCGTAGAAAAATTTACTGCTAAAGACAACAAACATGGATTTACTAGCAAGACACACAAATAATAATGTGGTTTATAAGTATATTTGCTTTTCTATTTTAATAAGTGATTGTGATTTATTAAGACTCTTTGGCCTTTTAAACAGTGCAATTTGCTTCTGTTTTTCTACATCGGTTATGCTGCTACATTCTTGCACAGCTCTATGCTACAGTTTCTATCTTCCTATCTACGCAGCCTGAATTTAGAGCAATTTGCTTAGAGATGTGTTTCTTTGTACAATTAATTGCTAGCTTTCCTCTTGATAACTGTATACATGTTTTGATTGTAATCTACAGCAATAAAACAGTTCCTATTTGATCGCAAAATATTAAGTTCTTATTTCGCTAAGAACTGATAATAAATTAGAAAACTCGATTTAAAATATCTTTTTTCTGATTTCTTGTTTCTTAGTTTATAATATCCCTAACTCTACTGCTTGCCGGGAGTTATATTGCTAGTGTCCGAGCATTAGAATGATCAGGACTCCTATGATTTTATGTTTTTGTTTTTTTTTTTTCCTTGTTTAAACCGGCCTACCAACTAACGTAATGTATCAATACTATGTATGAGTTATTTGCCCAAAATAGCCAGGAAGTTTTTTTCATTAAGTCGCTGCATCTAAGTAGGAACCAAGTTTATATTTGTGGTTGTCCAATTAGTTCGACGTGTGTTGGAAAGAAATGCTGTCCCTGTAACGAAGGGGCGCTGAGCGGTGGCGTTGGTGGTGCTATGGTTTGATATGTGAAGGACGGCGCCACCGAATTGGCGGAGAGAGTTGGTGACGGAACGTAAGACGGAGGAGGTGAGTAATAAACCGTGTCGTAAACAGCGCCTAAGACAATTGTTGGAACGCCATTGTATTCGACAAGTTGTACTGGTTGTACCGAAGGCTGCATGGATGGAATCTGTCCGTTTGGTGACTGAGGTACAGGCGAGATCAAGGGTACTGTTTGAAACTGTTGACCGGGAAAACCAGCCGAGAAGCCGTTGGTGAAATTGGAAGGGAATGGCTGTGACCTGGAGATCAAAACAAGCACTTGTTTGTTATTATGTTTGTGCAACGAGCAGCTACATTATTAGAGGCCGGCTTAATTTAAAGTGTTTGAAACCCAGTTATTAACCCAAGAATTGCGTTCAAATTTCCGAAAAAAATTATTCTATCGGCTAGTGAACTGCATTTATTCTAGGTCTGCAGAAGACCTAGGTTCAATTTTGTTCACTTACAAAAGTAAACATTTTAAGAATAAGATATAATATTCAAATCATTTGTCTTGAATGAAAGTTAACTCTCTTTGTTTCCTAAGATAAATCGATTTGAAATGAAAAGAGGGAAAAGACCCTTTTCCATGTTTCTTAGATGAAAAGGCAGTTTGAAGCTTTGGAGAGGCTTCATGTCGAACATGGCTGTTTACAAGTGTCTGACTGATGAGATACTTAGCGCTTATTAATCAACCTTTGTAAAGTTTGTAGTTATTATTTGTTGACTTGATTCACAAAATAAAAGAACTGACATTATTCGCGGTTGTCTCATTTTACAAACACTTTCTAGGACTTCGACATAACCACAATGCCATATTCCGGAAAGCTATCAGACTTATGTAGACTCGCTATTTTGAAGGGGGGTCAATAACTGTGCTTGTATTATCAAGACTTTCGAGTAAATAATTGACAAACCACCCAGATAATTGTTGAATACCACAATAAGAGAATTCTTGTCGGACCCTTTGATTTGTCTTCTGTGTTACACCATGTAATTTAGTGATCTTTGTTTTCCTTTATAGCATTATGAGCCATTTGTGAACTGCGTGGTCCGTTTGCAATGCTGAAAGGTCGCCAGCTATTAGTTCCATTCTTTTCGAAGAAACGTTTTTAAGGCTATGAAAAGTGGTTTCATTAACAGCAACACAAAAGTTCTTCAGAATTCTTTCCAAGTAGACGTTAACTTCGGCCTAGGTTTTTTCCGGTCGACGAATCCTAAAGGTCTATTGAAGAATCTCAAGTCTGGTGAAAGAGTTCTATACCATACTAAGATAACCGACTCTTGTGATAAAAAGGTCACTAAGATTAAAGAAAAAAATTCGTAAAGTACTCATTGTCCATTAGAGTTGCTGACAGCTAGTCTCAACTGAATGATATTGAAATCGCTGGCAACCTTACCCCATTATCGTATTCGGTTTGTAGACAAATCCCTGACTGGCGATGGCATTCTTTCCATTTCCTAAAAACAAAGAGGAAAAATTACGTGTGTTGGCATTTGTAGCCAAACAGAAATATTTACTTTAACAGTCTTCCTGAGTTATTGATACGGTCTCGTTTCGATTCAACGCTATTCAAGCGAGAAATCAGTCAATAATGGGATAAGAAGTTATGAAATGTCTACAGAGTTTTCTCGGGTAAAATCGATCACTGATCGCATGCAGTTCTGAACGGAGATCGTTGTAAAACTAACCTTTGAAAGGTTTCGGTTTGGCACCGAGATAGGCGAAGTTGACATTCGCTCGTCTACCATCAATGATGGGATTCGTGTTTTCACACGCCTTTTCTGCGCAATCTTTGTCATGAAACGTAACCTGGAAATGAAATCATTTCATAATCAGTGAATCTCATAGGAGAAATCGCTTCGTTGCTAGCGACGCGCGCGAAACTAAACGCAGTCATACTCACAAATCCATAACCTTTAGACTCTTGAGTGATTCTGTCTCGAATCACAACAGCCTCCTTGATTGCCCCGAATTTCAAGAAAAATTCCCGTAGCGCTTCATCGTTTGTACCGTACGGAATACCTCCGACAAAGAGTTTTTTAAACTTGGTGTCTTCGTGTCGGATCATCTACAGTCGGTGTCTCTCCTTCCGTGTTATACGCGCGCACTGTTAGTTAGAAAACCCGCCGTCCGGTCTTGGATGACTCTAGGCGAGAGATTACTGGCTTTTGGAGTGACTGATCACTGGCCCTGTCAGGGGTCTTTGTTAAATATGCAGACTACAGTTCCAGTGTGTACATATCACTAATTTGCACGTGTATGATGTGTTATAATACTGCTTGTCTACTGAGTCCCTCGGGTCTGTATTAGGAGATTAACTGTTAAGCCAATGATGTCCTGGGGTTGATTTCCACAAACGAGTTCTGCGGGACGTGTGATTGATGGAGTGTCGAAAACCAAGCTAATTAACAGTTTTAAATCCTCTTTGACAAGTTTACTTTTTTTACACAGCCTTACAGGACAGGCGATAATTGTGACGAAGACTTCTGCTGCGAGCGCCTCGATGGCCTCAGTAAATGAAAAGCCTGGTATTAAGTGTCGTAATAGCTACTCTTCCCTGAGGCCACACTTAACAAGATTCTCCACTACACCTTTTAGACACAATGAACTTATGTTATGCTAATGTCGTTTTTTGGAATCATAACGACACCTCAAGCAAAAGGAAACCGGGCCATTTTCCGATCGAAACGTACAAAACTGCCTGCAATCCTGTTTGACGCACGACGCGTTTTTTTTCCTCGATGCGCTTGAGCTGGTTTTCACAGAACATCACGTAGCGCCGCTAAAACCTTCAGACTACAAAAAAAAGCATCAAATCATAGCTGGATACACTATTTAATTGATTACATAACAAGTAAATAATTCTGATATTTCCTTACTTATTTTACCCTTATGAAAAATATCAACAATTGACAATTTTGTAATTGACTCATTCTCGATGTACGTGAAATTCTACACGCCTCATAACCCTTCTCTTGATCTCACTATATCTTGGTATCGTATTAAGAAGTTGTTGATTTTTGTATTCATCGTAGTTCTATACAAACTACGGAGGGAACAATCACTGTTTTTCTAGCCAATGGAATACTCTACGCGCGCTTAGCGATTTCGACAAATTTCTCGGACAGACAGACGAATAAGACAAGGGTATGCAGCGTGTGAACGACGACGGAAGGAAAATCCTGTAACATTTATAATATGGGATTGTTGTGGCTTTATAACAGTTCATTTACTGCCTCTTAACAAGAACGACAGGCCCTCAAAACAATAGAAATAAATATTTACAAGGCACTCAATTTGTTTGGATCTCACAACCGACATGTTACGATCTATGTTAAAACTCAAGATTCAAATTTCTACAAAAAGACAGCAAAAAAATTACGCGTCCAACCTTAGGCGAAAACAAATCAGTAATTACTGTCATTTATTGTAGTAAACCGTGCTCAGTGAGTATTGTGACGGAGAAGTAATTTGGCAGCCTAGATGTTTATCATCGCATCTTCCTGAAAAGTCGATATATCTAGTTTTCATAAAAGATTTTCGTTGATTCCATTGATCGTCTAGCTGATAGGATTTTATTCAACTTGAAGGGGGCATCAGAATTTTATGCACAACAATTAATTCACGGCTTATTCCTTACGTACATTTGTACAATGGCTTTATATTAAACTTGGCTTCCATGGCCTTGAGCCAAGTTCAACTTACTTGCGTGCGTGAGCCAAGTTCAACTTACTTGCGTGCGTGACCGGTATATATCGTAATTTTTTCCCAGAGGAAAGGGCTATCTCGCTAATGCCGAAGATGTTGCACAGGTCAAAAGTTGACAGAAAATTAAATGAAAACACAAGCATATACTCGTCAAATCGGTTACCGAAACTTTCAAAGTTATTAAGCTACAATTTTCTTCGTCGCCCGCATGCAGAATTATCTTGGTAGCTTATTCGCAAAATATCGACGCAACGATACGTGGAATACATTTCATTTTATTCCTCCCGCCTTACCTTATTGCAAGTATTTTTGCTTCAATTAAAAAAGCAATACCTGAACATTGTCGACCAGTGAGCAAATGCTTTAGCCTTGGGCACTGAACACAAAAGACGAGACCTTGATTACACGGATGAGGGTTTAAACCTTGTAGATTACGCCTCACAAATGTTTTAAACCCTTTCTTGTGTTTTGATCGAATACAAGAGCTCAGTAGTAATACTTAATCACCAAATAGGAACCGCAAGCGGGTCAATGGAGATCACAGTGTTGTTCCTTTTGCGATTAAAGCTCTTGTTTTAATTCTTTTTCTGGCGGTGCTTCAGTGAGGTCGAAAGCTCAAAGTCATCCAACTCGGCCGATCGCATCGAAATTGTTTCACTAATAGCGTACGTTGTCAGGTCACAACTTTTGACAAGAGCGAAATAAAGTCTTAACGGTTTTTGCCTTGAATTTTTTGTTGAATAATCAAAATCGTGTGCAGCAGTACATGGACAATGCTTTAAGGCAGCTCCTAAAAAGTCAAAACCGTCTCTCCTAACAAAAAATCAACAAACTTACACTATTTGTATTACTAATCAATCTCTTGCTATTAAACTTGATATAATTATATCTCTTCAAACAAATTGAATATCAATTTGTTCGCGTGCTTGCATTTCTCATATTTTATATTCATACGAGTTTCTGGCGTTTAAATTAATGAAGCAAGGCTTCGAAAAAACCTTCACTGCCTTGACTACAGTAAACATTAGCAGAGACGATCGTACGATATTTCTTGAACATCTTCAATGCCCGTAGCGCCGCTAGAACGATCCCTTGTTTTCAGTTCAAATGGCACTTCTGAAATTTATGTTTCAAAGCAACTTTCATCACAAACAGTTTGTCAAAAGGGAAAACTCATCACTCAATTATCAGCCATCAATGTTAATAAGTCGAAAGGAAATTGAAAATATTAAGGGCACTTCATTGTTCCCAAAGAAGTCAATGTCATACTACACAAAAACTGTCGTGATAGTTCTCATTTGTTTTGAAACCAGAAATATTGAGCTAAAGGAAAAGAGAACCTAGCTCTACGTTTTAAGCTCTTGGGATTAAAAACATTTCTGAAAGACAATCAGCTCACAGTCCAAAGACACTGCCTGCTTGTCACATGAAATGTTAATTAATTGTTTTAGCGTCGGAAAAACCAGACATCTTAAGGCCAACAGGATTAGATTAATCATTTGAAGTAATCCTTTCGAAACAAAGACAGTCATTGCTCTCTAACGGTTTACATTCGCCAGCTTGTTTATTTTGAACAAATCTGGATCGTGCCAAAAAGATTCCTTGCATTGCCGTGCTTGCAAGTTATGCATGAAATGAGGAAAAGCTGATTTCCTACACCAAACACTGTTGAGACGTATTTTTCATGATTAGCCTATTGGTGTTTCCGAAAAATGAGATTTATGTAACAACAGTGTATCCGTTATAACAATCATTTCTGTGATCAGAAATGATTGCTATGCGTAGAAATTGGTTGCTATGGAGAAGAGAAAACAGCTTTCACTAAAATAAAGAAATTGAAGGGAGTAATGCAAAGTAGAAGAATCCGAATCGAATCCGGCCCAGTATTCCCATTGTCCCTCAAAAGCTTTACAACTGACCGTCAGTAGAAAAGTCGGTGTTATTGAGGTAACTGTAAAGTGTTCAGCAAGCAACCGTGGACGATAAGAATACTCTTGTACGTTGGATCAGCAGTGATCTAATCGGCCCAAAATAACGAATATAAATATAGAGGCAAGACCAATACAGCGTAGATAACTTTTAAGACGGAGCACTATATTTCGGCTGGCCAAACCAGCCTTCTTCAGGTGCGGTGGGAATTGACATAGAATTAAGATGGTACTTAGATAGCTGTATAATGTAATAGCGAAAATACGTAATACTTATTTGATTAACAATGAGATAACAATTAAAAATAGAAATAGTAAATAAAAATAGAAGTAAAGTGGGGTAAATTAAATAAATAAATATAACTAAGAGTAAGAATAGTGGAAGGAAAAACACTAATACATTTCTGCGCGAGCGTTAAGGCCATCGGGATAAATAGTATTGCCTCTTGAAATTAAAAAAACACTTTTTCGATGGCGATAAGCTCCATGTCGTAAGCAGAGTGGTTGGGAGCGGAAAGGAAGTGTTCTGCCACTGTAGTAGGTTTAGATTTAAAGTTGGGTTTATCAGTGGTACGGCGGTGTTCATTAAAACGGTCTTTTAAACGTCGTTTAATTTCTCCTATGTATTGTAAGTTACAGCGGTTACATTGAATTAAGTAGATAAGGTTTCTAGTGTCACAAGTCAAGTGAGATTTAATAGTACGTGTTTCGCCGGTAGAAAAAAAGGTATAGTTAGTAAGTCCGTCAGAGCTGTAGGGACAAGTAGCGCAGTTACTACTACAACGGAAAGAGCCGGGGGGGAGTTGAGGATGGGAAGTGGTAGAATTGGAGGAGAGTTTGGCTGTAATTAATGTGTCGCGAAGGTTGGGGGAGCGTCTGAAGGCAACAACTGGCAACTGAAGAGAAGCTTTTTTGCAGCGGTTCATTAGTAAACAGCAGCAAATGCCAGTGTTTTTTGATGATGTTGGAGATGTGAGGAAGCGACGGATTAAAAGTAGTTATAAATGGAATACGGTTAGGATTTTTTACGTCTTTAGTTTATAAGGTGAGTGTGCGGGGGATGTCAGCGGCGAGTTGTATTTGTTTGGTGACGAATTTATGGCTGTAACCTTGTTTGAGGAGCTATGTGGTAAGTTGAGCGACGCGAGTCTTAAAAGCTTTGTATGTTGAACAGATTCGTCGTAGGCGGAGTGCTAGACTGAACGGAATGGCTTTTTTGGTATGTAATGGATGGCAAGAAGAGTACAATAGATACATGTGTTTGTCTGTGGGTTTGGTGTAGAGGTCAGTGGAGATATTACCGTTAGTGTTTAAAGACACACTAACGTCAAGGAAAGCCACGTTAGTGGAAGAATGTGAGGTGGTGAATTTGATGGTGGGGTGAATATTGTTGAGATAATCAACGAATATTTTCAGGTTATCTAAACCTTCGGTCCAGATCATAAAAATATCGTCGATGTATCTAAACCAAGTGTGGGGTTGAAATGGGGCATTTTTCAAAGCGTTAGCTTCGAAAAGACCCAAAACAAGGTTAGCGAAGGAAGGGGCCATTTTGGTACCCATGGCTGTGCCGTGAACTTGGAGGTAATGATTATCATGAAAAGTAAAATTATTCATGGTGAGAATCATACGAATGAGGTCACAGAGTGTGACGGTAGGAATAGTGGTATGGAAGGAGGTACACGCAGAAAATGGTCACAAGCAGTAATACCCTCGTTATGTGGGATATTGGTGTAGAGTGGGGAAACATCAAGTGTAACTAGTAAAGAGTTAAGGGGCGAATTACCAATGCTAAGCAGTTTGTTGAGGAAGTCATTGGTGTCTTTGATATAAGATGGTGGTTTGTGAACTAGTGGTTGAAGGTAGTGGTCAACGAACTGGGATATCCGTTCAGTGGGATTGCTGTTGGACGGAGACAATAGGGCGTCCTGGATTACCGGGTTTGTGTATTTTGGGTAAAATGTAAAATCGTCCTGGTCTTACGTCAGTCTGTAAGAGGTATTTTTTTGTTATTTCGTTGATAAGCTTGTCTTTATACATCTTGTTAACATAAAAAGGTAACACGTTTTTGTCTATCAGCAATGATGTCATTGGTCAAGCGTTTACAAAATTTAGTGTCAGAAAGTTGTCTGTTGCACTCATCGATGTACCAAGTTGTGTCCATAACAACAATACCAGAGCCTTTGTCGGCGCGTTTTATAATTGTCTTTTCGTTCCTTAAGTTCGCGTATGGCTTGTCGTTCTGTCGAAGTGAGATTGTTGCGGATATTTTTCGGTTTACAAGTGGTTATGTCAAATTTAACAACGTTTAAAAAGTTGTCAAGGGCTCGTTCTCGGTCATTTGGGGGGTTCCAAGTGCTCTCCACTGACCTCTACACAACAAACCCACAGACAAACACATGTATCTATTGTACTCTTCTCGCCATCCATTACATACCAAAAATGCCATTCCGTTCAGTCTAGCACTCCGCCTACGACGTATCTGTTCTACAGACAAAGCTTTTCAGACTCGCGCCGCTCAACTTACCACATACCTCCTCAAACAAGGTTACAGCCATAAATTCGTAACCAAACAAATACAACGCGCCGCTGACATCCCCCGCACACTCACCTTATAAACTAAAGACGTAAATAAACATAACCGTATTCAATTTATAACTACTTTTAATCCGTCGCTTCCTCACATCTCCAACATCATCAAAAAACACCGGCATTTGCTACTGTCTACTAACCGCTGCAAAAAAGCTTTTCCTCAGTTACCAGTTGTTGCCTTCAGACGCTCGCCCGACCCTTCGCGACACATTAATTACAGCCAAACTCTCCTCCAATTCTACCACTTCCCATCCTAAACTCCTCCCCGGTTCTTTCCGTTGTGGTACGGTAACTGCGCTACTTGTCCCTACATCTCTGACGGACTTACTAACTATACCTTTTTTTTCTACCGGCGAAACACGTACTATTAAATCTCACTTGACTTGTGACACTTAAGACTTTATCTACTTAATTCGAATTCAATATAACCGCTGTAACTTACAATACATAGGAGAAACTGAACGACGTTTAGTCGTTCAGTTTCAGAAACTGAACGACTAAACGTCGTTCAGTTTCTGACCATTGAAAATTGAACGACTAAACGTCGTTCAGTTTTCAATGGTCTTTCAGTTTCAGAAACTGAAAGACCATTTTCATGAACACCGCCGTACCACTGATAAACCTAGTTTCGACTAAACGTCGTTCAGTTTTCAATGGTCTTTCAGTTTCAGAAACTGAAAGACCATTTTCATGAACACCGCCGTACCACTGATAAACCTAACTCTAAATCTAAACCTACTACAGTTGCAGAACACTTCCTTTCCTCTCCCAACCACTCTGCTTACGACATGGAGCTTATCGCCGTCGAAAAAGTGTTTTCCAAGAGAGACTAGATCCGCAAGTCGAGGGAAGCTTTTTTAATTTCAAGAGACAATACTACTTATCCTGATGGCCTTAACGCTCGCGAAGAAATGTATTAGTGTTTTTCCTTCCACTATTCTTACTCTTAGTTATATCGATTTATTCAATTTACCCCACTTTACTTCTATTTTTATTTACTATTTCTATTTTTAATTGTTATCTCATTGACAATCAAATAAGTTTTACGTATTACCGCTATTACATCATACAGCTATCTAAGTACCACCTTAATTCTATGTCCCACTGCACCTGAAGAATGCTGGTTTAGCCAGCCGAAATATAGTGTTCCGTCTCAAAACTTATCTACGTTGTATTGGTCTTACTTATATATTTATTGAGGTAGTCCGTGTACTAAGTTCATATGTGACCCTGAGGCGTACTGTACATAGATTGGATTAAAAAAAAGTCGATGGCACCCGGTTTGGACATACAATGGGAGAAATGGTCCAAGTTTAGCTCCATCATCGAACGTGCCTGATAGGAAAAATAAAAATCTGTCTCGCCCAGACATATTTAGTTTAGTGATACGATTCTAAGTCAATTGAGCTTCACTCTTGACTGATCACATTGGCGATCAAGGACGTATAGTCACGGTAGCTCGTGCTCAGTGCGAAAATAATGAACATCCGGCTGGCAGAAGTGACTCAGTAACAAGCTCTGAATTGAATTTCGATAAAAAACACAGTAAGCAAGGCCATCCACTTGTGACACGATTTTTTTATAACTCCTAAGGCCATCGCAATTTAATGTTTCGTTTCCCATCACCCTCTCTATCGTGAGGGTGGGTCGGTCAGTCGGGCGAAAAAAAAAAAAAAAAAAAAAATATGCTAAGTAGCATGCTTTTTTTTTTTGGCCAAATTATGCTAACATTATGCTCTTTATTCCAAATTATGCCACCGTTTTTTTAAATTATGCTCTTTGAAAATATGCAAATAAGTCCAAAATATATATTTTTTAACTAGAAGCCGTTCGTCTACAGGAAAGAAATGCAACAAATCCACAATGAATTTCAAATAAACATGTGGTTCAAGTTAGACCCGGGCTCAGTGCTTCACAGTGAACTACAAATTCTACTAGTTTAACTGAAACTTTAAATATCGATTAAGGTCACCAAGAGCTTGGGACTAGAGACAAAAAATTATCAAATAATGGCATCAAAAATGATCTGATAATTATCAAAATGCGCAAATTATGCTAGCATTGCTACTTGGCAGAAATTATGCCAGTTTGCTCGAATTATGCCAAAAATTATGCAAGCATAATCTATAAATGCCTAGTCCGGGTGCCAGAGAAGGTCGGGCTGCTAAGTACGAAAGCTTATTAGCTACAAAGTTAACCCGAAAACGTGGTTTCTTCGTTCGTTATTCTTTATCTACAATGGCAGACAGTAATTTATGTGCACTTGTGATAAGGTTACGATAAGAGAAGAGAGTTGTGGCGTTACGTAGGGTTAAGTTCGTTCAAAATGTTCTTGAATGCAACTTCGTGTCAAAGCTAAACTTTCAGTCACCCCCATTATGAGATTGAAACTGACAGGCAAGACTGTTAGAAAGTTACTGTTTAATGAAAAAAAGCTGTCTTGACGAAATGTTCTTTTCTAAGAAACATTCAGTTTGTGTTCCAGTTACTTTTGCATGTTAAATCTCGCATTTAGTCTTGAAGGTATAATCAGATGGTATAGTAAAAGATGTATATTAATTAAAACGACTGTCAAATGTCTAAAAAGGCGTTAAAAACGTTGCAGTANTCAGTTGGTAAAGCACTGCACCCTAATCGTAGAGCTTATGGTTCAAATCCCGCACAGGCTTGAATCTTTTTTTCTTTTTTTTTTTTAATTTTTCATTACTGCGAAGATCGCTTTCATGTCCATTTAAAACTTCTAACTAGGGAACTCCAGTATGGAATACCGAACACGTTATGAATCAAAGCTAAGCCAGTTGTGTTTGGGGCAAAGTGAGTTTTATCGATAAGCGATCTAAATAACGTCTTGATGGAGCGATCCGACCAGGAACGATTTGGTTACACTTAGCCCACACCAAGGGAACCTGTTAAACAGTTCTTAATTCCGTGAGAGACTTGGAAACGAATATTTAACAGGCGCTTCAGTGTAAGCATAGTTAAGTGAAAGTGCGAGATGTGAAATCTCTGCTGGCATGGGGCACATCCAGGAGTGGTTTAGGTAATTCGGTCGAAGCTCCAACACTGAACTGAAGAAATTTAGATGTATCTTGCCAGTATGTGTCAAAAACAAACAAAAAAACAATCAGGCTCTTTTAAGTTTCGATGCTGCTCTGATAAAAGAAAAAACAATACTAAATCGTATGACTCTATGGAACCCCTGGGCATTTTCCCACAGGCTTATCAAATCGTTCCCAATCAAAAGAAAGTTTTTCCGCTAAAAGCTTTCAGTGTTGGGAGGGAGGGGAGGTTTGTATAAGAAGTTATATTTGGAAAAAATGGTTTCAAGTTGACTACACGCGTACGAGTTGATAATGACACGGGAGTCATTAATGGTCATTAATTAGTAGCATTGTAGCAAGCAACTGCGATTCATCAATTAACTCAAGAACTTTGTTCTAAAAAAATAGAGAAATTAATATGACGTAATAGTGTCATAATGAAATCGTTCGTGTTGAGTGTTCAGGGGTGGAGGCTCGCTGTAATGAAATTATAAATTGTATCATATCATTCAAAATTTCTTCCTTTCCGATAGGTTCATTGTGCATTTCAAGTCGCAAACAATTTTTGCGCTGGAGACAACCCTTCACGGCAGCATAAAATCGTTCGCAAAAGCAGCCATATTAAATTTATTTTGGCGAGAGCATCTGGGGAGAATGAAAAACTCAACCCGGTCCATCCCTCCCCCATGAGTATTTTTATATTGGCCACAAGTATGTCTTATCAAAAACGAACAGACAAAAACAAGAGCGAACAAATAAAGAAAAAAAATGAAATATCCAGGGAAAGTGAAAAATGAAGAAAAAATAAAGTATTGGACAGTAAATTCAAAATTATTTCCTCAGAGTTCGTTTCCTGACTATACTTCAATAAAATTATCTGACGTATTACCTATTCCGCTGACAGGAAAGCCAGGAATCCAGCGGACCATATTACCATATTAGGAAAAGTGTGTCATATTTTTTTCACCCCTCCCTCAGCTAATCTCTGGGTTTCCTTGCAGAAACTTCTTGTGAAGTTCGCTGAGTTTTTCGTGGTTGTAGCAAATTTCTGAGATGTCTGGTGACTTGAGTGCCCTTGTAGCTCGTCTTGAAGCAGTCACATCACGTTTGGAAGCTGCAGCTGACAAGGCTGGCGGCGGAGAACCAGCAGGTTTGAAAGCTTGCTAAAAGCATAACCTTTCCCGTAGACGGAAATTTTATATTGGAAAGGGTTTTAAGGACACGTACGTTTAGATCGAGTGTGATTAAAGGATTTGATTTTAAATTGCAGATGTCGGAGTTATTGTTGAAGAATATGACCAGGTAAAAGAAGTGATGAAAGCTTCTTATAGTTGGAGAAAAATGTTATGATCTTCCTTATTTGTTATGAATTTGAAATTTTAGATTTTCTCCTTCCAAATACAGGAATTAAAATATTTAGAATTTACTTATCGCTTCTATTTTTGTAGGTGCTTAAGGGTAACGTGGCCGAATTTTTTAAGCTGTCAAGCAAAATTGGTGGCGATGTAGACACCCAGGTAATGCAGAGATGTTAAATTTAATTACCAAGTTGATCTTACGGTGCAACCCTAGTCATAATTATGTACATTGCTATGCCAAATGCAACCGAAATTCACTTCATTCATTGTCCTTATGTTAAAAGAACATGGGTGCAAATGTATATTAAGTTTTATGGGATCAAAATGCCTCATGCTGATTTTGTGGTGTGCTGTCAGTGGTAAATCTTTCAAGTCTGGCGACTAGAATTAAGAAATATGGGTCTGGAAGAGGAAATTTCTTGTAGTGTACTGCCCCGGTCATCGTTTAAGCTACTAGATTTAACAAATTGGCAATGATTTAGCATGGTCTGTATTCCTACAGACAAAGATATCCATAATCACAGTGGTAAAAATGTGGTAGACTCCAGAGGTGCAGCTGAGTGAGTCCATGACAAATTTTGACCACTGTGTTGACAAATATCATTGTCAATAAGAGTCCAGATCACACTAAACCACTGTAAATTTGTTTTTTACCACAATTTTGATGTCAAATGAAACAATTTTTTGGTGCATGACATGTTGCGCGACACTCTGAAGCAAGCAGCGTTGTCTGTACTCTTCTTGACAAAAGCAGATTGGCCAATAAGATTGTAACATTAGTGCCTATTATGGTTAAAAGTAAAAGTGCACACCACATTTAACAATTAGAACTCTACAAACTGCACCCTGTGAGGCAACTCCCCGTTCACACTAATTGAGAGTCCATCAGCACCATGCCCCCATCAATTCCATCTCCTCTCCTTTATTGCTTCACGCTTCAATTCCCACGTGCAAATTTAAGATGTAAGATTTTTTCTGATAAATATGAATATGGTTGATATACAAAGAAATATGACTATGTTTGAGTATGTATAATGGAACTTTTTGTTACTTGTCGGGCAATATTTATGGCTTATTTTTATCATGTTTTCCTTTTTTAATATAATGATGTGTATAATGATGTGTACAAATCTCTCTTGTTCAGGCAAAGTTTGCAAAGAAAGTGTTTGATGCTCAAAGGGAATTTATTGTGCTTGCCTCTAAGAGTCAAAAGCCTAGTCAAGTGAGTAGAGGAAAAATTATATTTGTTTCATCGAGGAAGATATGCTTTGAGTGGTTTTATCTTTTTTTGATATGAAATTCACTTTTCAAGGGTCAGGTTTGTTTTTTTTTTTTTAAGATAAAAGTTGCTCAATTCATGACCAGACCACCCTAGACAATAAGGGATGACACTGCTCTCCCACCACCTCAAGCTTGCTAATGAATTGGGGAAATTCCAATATAACAGTGCCATTGACTTTCCAGATATTATCTTAAGGTCATGGGAACAAAATGATTAAAGAAGGAAACTAAGACAAATACCTTTAATGTGAAAGAAAATAAGGAACATTCCAATTCAATAGAAATATCCCCAACTTCCTGGATGGTCAGGCCGTGCAGAGTTTAATTTTATATTTGTGAACTCTGCTAATTAAAAACTCCACAGTGATGGGAAAACAGTGCCATTTCCTATAATTTGGGATTTTTCTGATTTACAAGATCTACTAGCCATTATGGTTATGAACGAAGTGCTTTACCCTTAAGTTCTCGAGATCTGTTAGTCAATTCTCCTCTCTAGCTGCTACTCATTTTCTTATAACTAGTTATAAGAATTTGGTGTTAGATCAAGTTAACAACTTCTACCTGATAAGTTTGAGTATTCTTGTCACCTGTTAGCTTGATAATGTTTGAGAGAAGTTACTTGTTAGTCACTTCCAGGAGTTAAAGTTTCAAAGATAAATCCATATTGTTCTTAGCAAGAATAGACTTACTGTTGATTTCAAGGCTTTGAATTGTGTTTGTTTCAACCCTCTTGTTCTGTGTGCCAAGAATTTTGGCAAAGATTATAGACTCATATAGCACCAAATATTGATTTGTAGAAGCTTAACAGGGGAAATCTTTTGAGTTGAAGGGTAAAGAAATAAACGATTGGAAAGTAAATCTGGTACTTTGATCAACAGGATGAGTTTGTGAAGCTATTGAAACCACAGGCAGATGCTATTGGCGAAGTACAGGTAAATGGACTGATATTTAATGACAACTCACCAAAGGGGATGTGGCTAGTGTTAGATGTTTACCAAGCTGCAAAACTAGACACTGGCACTGAGATGAGTAGGATGAGTAGTTGTTTTAGTTTACTCTAAAATAATTATAGAGATAATATTGCACAAAAAAAAACCATTTTAACACATAAATTCATACAAAGGGTGCAATATTTTGGGGCACAGATCCCAGTTGCATTGCTTGGAGGTAAATAGCAAAGTTTGAGTTACCTATCAGAGCACACCTTCAACACTACTGTTTTAGTATACACAAAGCTAAATTACTTTTCTTACCTCTCACTATGAATGATGTTTAATATGTAATTTTGATTACAATTTTTGTGAATCTAACTTCTTACTTGTGGCAATGAATAGAAAGGAAAGGGTGATTGAATGTGAAGCTGGTAAAATATAAGCTTGAGAAATATTTGTTTTAAAGCACTTAATTGTACTTTAAGCTTGTTGGGAATATGCAGAGGCTGTGTTTATTTTTGATAGAGTTTCCGTGAGAAGAATCGTGCAAGTAAGGTTTTCAACCACCTGTCAGCGTTGAGTGAAGCCATTCCTGCCCTTGGATGGGTTAGTGTGGTAAGTGGAAAGTTATGTTTTTTGTTGCAGTATAATTTAACTGACAGAAAGAACACTATACTCCTGTAAACCCAAATACCTTATTGAAAAATGTGTAATGTTCTTACTAATGAGCATTTTATTTAGACAATACATTAATTTTCCTTAATAGATCTACTTGAGCCCACTACAAACTATATCTTAGCACACCAATGACACAAATCCACAGTTGTCAAAGTTTATTTGCATTTGGAAGCTGCTGTTTTGGCTTGAGTAAATCCTCAAGTAAGAAATTCCATGCTGTAAATGGTGTTAAGAACAACTTGGCAACAGTTTAGAGAACAAAAATGTAATATATTTGGGCTCTAAAATACTTATTAAATTTTAGTAGTTTAAACACACCCCTCTTATCTTATAGGACCCTCTCTTGGCTCCTGGATATGCTTTGCCCCCCCCCCCCCTTAAAAAAGAAAAGAAAAATTTCCATCCTGGGGCTTATTAGAAAAAGTACAATCTTTAACGTAAACAGGATGACACAATTATTTAAAACAAGTAGGTAATGGTGATAGTAAAGATCAGCTCTAAAGAAAGTGTTCTTCACAACAATATCATGTAAAAAAGGGTATTAATCATTCAGTTTTGATTTGAAACTAAAATGAAATGTTGCATGATTGATTCCACTCTGATAGAGCCCCACTCCAGCTCCACATGTTAAAGAAATGCTTGATGCAGCACAGTTCTACATGAACCGAGTTTTGAAGGACTTCAAAGGAAAGTGAGTCTGAGTGTTTTCTTGTGTTTAATCCTTGAACTTCCATGAGTGACCAAGACAGAATTTTTCCTTACATTATCAATATTATATCAAGCAGACAAGTGATGAGAATAAAGAAAAATATCAATTAGGGGATAGTTAGTTGATCCAATTCCAAATTCTCAGAACTAGTATCATAAGAATTGTATGGCAGACAGTAAGGAGAATCGGTAATGAGATCTTGGGAGTGAAAGGGTAAAATAAGAAAAAGTGAAACTTAGTAATCAAGTTTACAATCCATTTTATGTGTCATTGTATGTGGATTGGTTTGATGTAATGTGATGTAATGTGATGGAATGTGATGGATTGTGATGGAATGTGATGTAATGTGATGTAATGTGATGTGATGTACTGTGATGTAATGTGATGTAATGTGATGTAATGTGATGTGATGTACTGTGATGTAATGTGATGTAATGTGATCTAATGTGATACAACATGACCAGAGGCATAAGTGATATTTTACATGTTTGAACAATTATCAGTTAGTTTTTGAGATTTTGTTCAATAATTGGTTTACAAAGTGAAGAAACAGTTATCTGTTTGCTAGCTATAAGTCATAAATATCTTTTTTTGGCAGAGATGAAACACATGTGGAGTGGGTGAAAGCTCTTAAAAGTTCCCTAACCGACCTTCATGCCTACGTCAAAGCACATCACACAACTGGTGTAGTTTGGAGTAAAACAGTAAGTATTTTCTCAATCTGTTAATTCAAGCATCACGAAAAAACAAATGAAGGTCTTCTTTGTAGAAAAGGATTCCCCTGTTCACTCCCAGTGTTCCAACAGAAATTTTAAAATAAACCCAAAAAATACTGGCTACTGACTCACTGATTGTCTGGAAAGCCAACTGATCAACTGGACCACCGGCTGGCTGGCTGGTTAGCTGGCTGGTTCCCTCACTGAAGAACTGATGATCTGACCAACTGAACAAATAACCCATCATTCTGCTGACACTTTGACATTGAAATTTGTCTTTTGTTTTTTTTTTTTGTTTTTTTTTTTAAATAGGGAAGTGTTGCCAAAGCAGGAGCAGGACCTGTAGCACCCCCACCCGGTAAACCTGCACCACCACCTCCACCCCCTGTGCAAGCCCCTACTCCTGTTGCCTCAGGGCGAGATGCCCAGGTTGGAGCTGCAAATGCATTGTTTGGTGAAATCAAGAAGGCAGGCACAAATATTGCAGCAGGTACATCCACTTTCATCTTCAAACTTTTATGATTCTTTTTTTAAAATTTTGACAGGCTTTTGTACATTCAGAACCTCAACAATCCAGCACTGTTAATGAATGAATTCTGGTGTAATGTTCATACAACAGAAGCCTGAATCTCACACCCTCCATTTCTGGAAATGCTGCAGGATTTGAACCAAAACTTAAGCTCTTCCTCGCTGGTTGGATACTTGTGGGCTGATTATTTGCGCAAGGTCTAACCCAAAGTCCCAAATCATCCTCACTAAATGTAAGATAGACTTTCAGCAGGGTAGAACTGAACTGGATGGAAATGTTCTAAGAAACCTTTCTTTCATTCATTTGTAAAGTCTGACAGACATTTTTAGTCCTAGAGTACACAACAATATAAACCCATTTCTTCTTCCCTCACAGGGCTAAGGAAAGTGAAGGATGAGGAGAAGACCCACAAAAACAAGAACCTGAGAAAAACTGGGCCAGTTCCTGATAAACCAAAACCAGCTGTGGTTGCCCCGAAACCTACAGCTGCAGCTGCCAAAAAGCCTCCGGTGTTTGAGCTGCAAGGGAAGAAATGGGTAGTTGTAAGTATAGCATACTTTGTATGATATTGTATCCAGATAGTTGTACTGTTGTAGTGCACACTAGCTCTGTGTATAAATACAACAGTGTGGACATGAACTGAACCATGACGGGAGCAACCAGAACTGGTAAAACAAGAAATTTGATTAGCACAAAGAACAAGAGCTCTGCTTTTGCATTCAAAAACCTTGCATATTTCCCAGACATCTACTTCTAAACAACAATGGAAAATCACTAAATTTTGGTTAGTCTGTGGAAAGGAAGCCAATTTGTTAGTTATTCAACTTGTTTCTGTTCCAAACTCATTGGCACTATAACAAGTCATGTTCCAGATGCTAAGCAAATTAAGGAACTAACAAAACAATCAAGAAAAGTAGAACTTCTTTTTCTATCTTCCAAGTTTTCCTTGAGGCTGTACTTTTAGTTGCTGAAACATCCTGCTGTCGTATCCTGTCCAACCAGTGATGCATTACTATTGGTTATGGCATGTGCTACAAATAAAATAATTGAAGATGTGTGCTTTACCCTTTGCAGTGGGACTGTTGTGTTGTGTATCACAGACAAAACAGGATATCATATTTGTTTTACAGGAATTTCAAGAAAACAACAAAAATCTCGTGATCGCTGAACCTTTGACATCACACACAGTTTACATTTACAGCTGCAAGAACAGCACTATTCAAGTCAAGGGAAAAATCAATTCCATGGTTGTCGGTGAGTCCTGTAGATCTAAAATATGTAGCTTCCAACCTGACAGCTGTATGTTTTAGTGTACATCAGCTGTGAGATTTGTAGGGTTTATGCATGTACAGGGGAATCCCACTAACTGGAACCCAGTTAACCCTTTACACCTTAACATCAGTATGCATATTCTCCATACTGTTCTCTATACATTTTCTTAGGTGCTGACAAGGAGAATTTGTTTAACAATCAAGAGCTGCTTTAGTTGGAGATCATTCTCTTTATTCTCATGGCCAAAATATGTGATTTGTGGGTGATATTGTAAGGAGAAATTAGATGTTAGTCACTCTCAGGTGTTAACTTGAACCCCTTTGTAACTAGAGCAAGATCCTATTTCCTCTTTTTCAGTTTTTCAGTCATTTACCATCAGCTAACTTGAACTCCCACCTACTTATACTGTTTTTATTTACCTTGGGAAGTTTGAGATGGCAGGTTGTACTGCGTAACACCAAATCCCCTTGTACTATGAATGGCAAACAGTTTTAATGACACTCAATGTTTATCTATTTGTTTAATTTCCTTTTTCTTCTCTGCTTTCAGACAGCTGTAAGAAAACAGCAGTGGTTCTTAAAGGTGCTATTGGCACTGTGGAGTTTATCAACTGTCAGAGTATGCAGTGTCAGGTAAGCAAGAATGGAGAAACAGTTATTAGTGCCACAGTGTGAAAAAGTTTTAGGTGATCTTCGGATGCAAGCCAAGCAATATTTGCTTAGTCCAATGTAACAAGAAAAAGAAACCAATTGTTTTTCCCTAACATAAATCTATGAAAATTCATACAATTTTGCATACGAGTGAAATGAATGCAACAATACACTTAAAACCTGTCACCAGCGATCCATCTATTTTTACATCCCACATCTGTTCAGCAGAGCAAAATTATGTTGTGTCAGTAAACTAAATGTAAATTAGCAAATTAGTTTTCAGTGCAGAAAGGTAAGCAGTGTTGTACACAGCTCACAAGAAAGTCAGACTGATATGCTGACAGTTTGTGTTATTATCTAGATTGATGACATGGTTCCTACTGTGTCCATTGACAAGACTGATGGCTGCCAAGTGTTCTTTCCCAAAGGCATTGGCAACACAGAGGTTGTAACTGCCAAGTCATCTGAGATGAATATCATGATCCCCAAACCTGGTGGGGAAGACATGGTAAGTGGTTACTAACTGTAGTTGACGCTCATTTACCCTATCTCCTTTGCAACCATTGTTTGGTCTCATCGTTCAGTGCATGCACTCTCTCTCTTTGGTGAGAGAGAGAGAGAGAGAGAGAGAGAGAGAGAGAGAGAGAGCAATGCATGATGAGACCAAACGATGGCTGCAGAGGAGATTATATTGTAGCCCCTGTACTCTCAGGAGTATATAAAATGGAATTTCTTTATACAGTACATTTCCATTTTTTAGTTGTAGACAAGTGGCGAGAGGAAATGAAAACATTAATCAGAAGATATTGTTTATTATATCTATCTATGAGTCACATAATCCTTGCAATCTGATTGGCTGTTGCTGGTGCAACTTGTTCACAAATTGCACATTTTGCACTCTGAATTGTACTTGCTAATGAGAAAGCTTTACCAAAATGCATTAACTAATCAAATTTCGAGGCTTGGTGAAAGAAATCAATCAAATTGCAGAAAAATGAAAGGCAACTTTTGCAACTTTTTTCAAACCAGCTCAAAATACTGGATCTATATTATATTAGTACTGACTAGAAAAAAAATTGTATAGAGCAAATTTATTTTACAATTTGAAATTAGATGAAATAGAGTGGTAGTTGAATTTTGTGTTGAGAAATTTTGGTCTGAAATCATAGCACACTCGTTTGATTTTATAATCACATGATGCCATATTATTTCAGACCAAATTGCACTCCACTCAGTTCAATTACCATTTAACAATTATTCCACGAGCGCGCATTGGATATGAGATGATAGATAGCCAACGAGGCGCATAGCGCCGAGTTGGCTATAATCATCTCATATCCAACAAGCGCGAGTGGAATAATTGTTTTATTAAAAACGTTAAATTAAATTATTAAATTTTATTAAATTTTTAGCTCCCTTTTAATTTTAAGCTGACACATAAGCTTACCATATTTGTAGATTATGGTATATTGGCTGATATACCATAATGGCTAAGCCAATAAAATGTCTTGAATTGCATTATCCAATGATCTAGTTTTGAATAATATTTGTTATCATATTCAAAGTTGAAAGAAGGCTATTGCAAACAGTGTAGAGAATTGATAAATAGATCTAGGAACTTGGAACTGTAAGAGTCGATAATGATCTGTAAAAAGGATGTCTGGCATTCTATATCTCCATTTGTTTCTTTCTTTTTTTTTTTTTTTTTCCCTTTGGAATAGGTTCCAATGACTTTCTAATTTCTCACTATAATTGTGTAGTTTTTCTCACTTCTGGTGTTCTTCTTGAAAGAGTTGACTTTCATCAAAATGGCTAAACTAAATGCTAGTTATTCCATGTCTTATATGTTATTACTGTTGTTTGGAATGTCATCAGACTCGTGTTATTGTGGCTGTTATCTTTGATTAAAATGGTTGTTGCTGCTTTTTTTTTATTTTTTTTATTGGGAAATTCAAATTATCAAATCAAACAATCCTATCTTCTTTTCATTATTCATTTTAGGTGGAATACTGTTTGCCAGAACAGTACAAGAGTGTATGGAATGGAAAAACATTTGTTACCACCTGTAGCGAGTCTCTTGGATAAATGTCATAAGCTTCAACTGGAATATGCTACATGTACGGAAAAGGACAATCTCAAAATGCTCAACCTGACACCAATCGCCCGCAATTTGGAATCCCTTTAGTTGATATTGGAAAATAGTAAAATGACTTCTTTGATTATAGAAAATGTAAAGTTAAACTTGATAGTGTGCAGTAGTTTTGAGGGCTGACTAGGATGGAATTTTTAATTAAAAGTGATTCTTTTTGCAAGATATTGTATAGCGTTGAGAATTAGAGATCAAAGACTTTATTTTCCTACAGCACAACATTTTTGTCTTTCTTGAAATGAAAAAAGTGAAACCATTGTTAAAGAAAATAAAATAGAAAGTTTAAAATTATTGCCACCAGGTGCCTACTTACTATTTTATCTTGATTGCATGGAGCAACCAAAGCTCGGTGATTAAGAGTTTGCCTGAATATCCAGTATTTGGTATGAACCCAGTGGTAACGGTTAACCATGAAGTGTGCTCGTCTGCAGTTTGTGTATAAGATAAATGAAGTAAGGGGGTGAGTTTCTAAAC